AATTACCACGCGTTGCATTATTACGCGTTGGATTACTACTACGCGTAGAATATGCACGCGCTAGATTACTACGCGTTGGATATCCACACGCTGTATTAGTACGCGTTGGATCACTACGCATTGGATTACTACGCGTAGGATTACCACGCGTTGCATTACCACACGTTGCATTACTACGCGTTGGATTACCACGCGTTGGATAACTACGCGAAGCTGCCGTTCTCGCGTCTGCGCACGTGTAATCCTCGCACTCTGATGGGTCCGTGTTTTTCCTTAATAATTCAAAAACGAAGCTTCAAATCCCATTTTTGCAAAGGGACATCTTATTCAGAATCGCGTTAGCTACCCTCCATTCCAGGGTCCTACACTAGCTGTGAGGCACACTGTTCATTTGTTTTAAATATGCAATATTCATCTAAATTACTTATGCAAGCAGTTACTTCAGAACAAAATTATCATAGAATAAATAATAAATAACCTTTGGATGAGATCTTTGTTAGCAATAAACTAGAATAAATATTTAAAAGAAACAACCCTAAATAACTGTAAGCACATGTCTAATTGTAAACAATCTTCCCTATGACCATGTTACTCAACTATAATAAAAATATTTAATGTACGAAAATATTTAAAGATGGCCAATAAATATTTAAAGTAGTAGAAACAGTGAAATTGTACAAGTAGTTTTTAATTTAGCAATAATTTAGCAACGAGAAATATGTCCGAACGGTGCAGATGGGGTGAATGGCGAATCGAGGGGTCGTTTTATTTTAGCCGTAGCTCTCGCCATATTTTTCTTCCACGCGAACAGAACCGAACCGGCTCGATACGAATTACGAGCGTTTCGTTTCAATAGAAATCAACTTGTCCGTAGTCTGAACAGAGACACGAAGAATAACGACGTTAGACACGGGGAGAAAAATCGCTTTATCAAACGGGAAGATATAAAATCGTAGAGTACGTCGACGTTTCGCTGGGTGTCCTCGATCGGGCTGAATACAACTTCCGGTCCGATTTAACGCTGCATTCGATGAAAATCGTTTCCTCGGTAACTTGGCTTAACACGTTATTTACCGTCATTCTTTCGTTTTCTCGGATAAACTGAATTTACCGAGTCAATCATGATCTTCGTTGGTGCAGGACTGTTATAAAATCCTGTTAAATTAATCTTGTTAAATAATACGGTACGAAGAATTTCTGGAAAATTTATCTCTGTGAATGTCGTACAATCTGGCAAATTTACCTTGATGAAAAATATTCTACAGAAAGAGGCAAATTAATCTCTTAAATAATATTGTACTGAAATGTTCAGGTAAATTGATTTTGTTGAATAATATTTTTTAAAATCAGTTCAGTCAAATTGATTTCATTAGACTTCATACAAAAAGAGACCAATTAACCTCTTAAATAATGTTTTTTAAAAATGCTCAGTCTAATTGTTTTCATCAAACTTCATACAAAAAGAGGCAAATTAAGATCTTAAATTATATTATACATAACATAACATAACCTTAAATGAAACTTTAATAAGTTTGAAGACACAACGATCAAGATTAACAGTCCCACAAAAAAATCCATGTGAAAAAACATGAGCAGCAGTAACATAACCTAACATAATTAACGCAACCTTAAACAAAACTTTACCAAGTTTGAAGACACCACAATGAAGATTAACAGTCCCACCAGAAAAGTCCGTGTCTAAAAACCAACATCAACATTTATTCAACATTACCGCTCGCGAGTGCAATTTCCCAGAATCTTTTAACAAAGAGTCCCAGTAACGAGGTAGGCGCAAATGGATAAAAAAAGAGAAGAGAATCCTCGGTGTCTTTGATTTTACAGTAGAATAGAGAGTCTCGAACAATCGTTGAAAGACGTTCTCGAGGAACGTCTGAGCGTTAACAACCAGAAGGTCTCTTTAAATAATAACAAGATATTCCTTGGAACGGTGATTCGCAGCTGATTCCATTGTTTGGAGTCGTTGAATCGGCTCCGCTCGTTTTTGTTTGTCGAAGCTCGAATTAGTTCATTTTGCCGAGCGATTAAATCGACGAGCGGGGTGTTCCGTTCGATACAGTTAAAAGGAAATCCAATTAATTCGAAGATGACGTAGAAACCCGGAGAGAGAAAAATAGACGGGAGACGGATTAAGCGAGCTTTGGCGTTCAACGAGAGAAAGGGAGAAAAAAAAAGAGGAAAAGCGGTCAACAACAAAAATGAAACTCTTCGTTTCCAGCGAGCGACCGCCAGGCTCTGTGATGAAAAATTCTTTGTTAAACGTAGCGAGGGATTAAACGCAACAGTGCTCGAGTCGCCGAACAATTGAACAAGAAGAGTCTGCGTACTCCTCCTCGTAAACCGTGTCACGAAACTCGGCTCGACTTCCAAGCTTTATCGTTTAACCCGAGGATGCTTTTAAATAGGCTTCAAAGACGTTGTTCGAGCGGAAGAATCGATGCATGAAAAGAGAATCAACAGCGATCTTGCCAACAGCCTTTTTAACGTCTGTAGAATTGTGCGTAGGATAAAGGGGTGCGTTTACTTGAATTGCTTTTTTCCCTTCTTTTTTTTTCTTTTTGTTATATTAGCTGGTATTTTGTAAGTGTGGAGTTAATTGGATGGTTTCCGTTGTAGAAGTGTATTATGGTTCAGAGCTGAAGTCAGGGTTGTTATTAGTTAAGTGGAAATTGAGGTGTGGGGGTTAATAATTAATTTAGTTTATTATGGAGTAGAGGACAGATTCTCAAATATAATGTATATCAGGGGTAGTTATACATAGTGGAATTCTTAAACCTCGAAAATTTCCAAGGTATCAAATTTTCAAACTCCATAACGTTCAAAATATCAAATTTTCCAACTAATTTTTATACCTCCAAATTACTAAATGACTGATTTTCTAAAATGCTAAATTGCAAGTTGAGAAATTCTCAAACACTAAATTTCCTGAAATACCAAATTACGAAACCCTTAATTTCCAAAAGTCCCAAATTTCTAGAAACCCTAAATTTCCAAAAATTCCAAATTTCCAAAGACCTCAAATTTCCAAAAGTCCCAAATTTCCAAAAATCCCAAATTTTCCAATAACCCCCGATTCCCAAAAGTCCCAAATTTCCAGAAACCCCAAATTTCCAAATGTCCCAAATTTCCAGAAACCCCAAATTTCCAAAAACCCCGAATTTCTAGAAACCCTAAATTTCCAAAAATCCCAAATTTCCAAAGACCTCAAATTTCCAAAAGCTCCAAATTTCCAAAAATCCCAAATTCCCAATGTCCCAAATTTTCCAAAAACCCCCAATTTCCAAAAGTCCCCAAATTTCCAAAATTCCCAAATTTTCCCAAAACCCCCAATTTCCAAAAGTCCCCAATTTCCAGAAACCCCAAATTTCCAAAAGTCCCAAATTTCCAGAAACCCCGAATTTTCAGGAACCCCAAAAGTCCCAAATTTCCAGAAATCCCAAATTT